TCCAAGCATAATCCAAGCATATCATCATAAAGCATAAATCTCAACTCAGCTCCGGCCTCCTGCCGCTCGAGGTCTCAACCCCGAGTTACCTGAACCTGAAATATGTGCCCCAAACGTGGGGTGAGATCTCTAAACAAAAATCTCAGTAAGACAAGGGGTCCTCAAGGATTTCTCTACCCCAAGCTCACTTACATGTGCAATATAAGTTCAAAGCAGGAACATAATATAAGTTCCAAAATCAGTGCAATGCAGCAGAATAATCATGTCATGTGTGTCATCTATTCTACTGGCCAGAGAAATGCAGGACTTATATATGTCTATTGCCTACATTCAGTGCAAGTCACTAGTTACACCCACCCACAGAATCACCCTATGACATGTCTACTACATACACAGGCTTACCGTCTAGGTGGAACAACACAAGCATATTATAAGCACTTGCACATAACAGCTCAACAGCATTTCAAAATTCAATACATGAAAATACATCATGCATATAAACCATCCCCCCATGCGGTATGGTGGAACCAACAATGGCTAAACCAGAAAACCCCACGTAGAAATGGTTGAGTATCAGCCTAGGGTTGTGTGCAAGTGGCTATTTATAGTCCACTTAAGTTTAACCACACTGTATTAGCATTAATAGCTACGCTTAGCATTTTAATCTCAAACTTTAGATTCTGAACCTAGCCATTTTTCTAGGATTTTTCATATTTTTATTTTATTTTTCGCAGTACTTTGCCAGTACGCGCTTTTTAAACATTGCTTGTATGTAGATTGTAATAAAACAGCTAACTGAAATACCTCCATATATAAATAGGTGAGTATCTAAGTCACGGAACTACAACACGTAGTCCGCACATTAATCCTGATATATTAATGCAACTCAAATCTAAAATAAGACATAGTCAGTCAATGTGGCATTGACAATCCCCTTTCTCTCCAAATAAGGCAACAAAGTCCAACAGAGTCTCAACAACAACAACAACAACATGATAATAAATATAAAACAGGTCAGCATCCAAGCATAATCCAAGCATATCATCATAAAGCATAAATCTTAACTCGGCTCTGGCCTCCTGCCGCCCGAGGTCTCAACCCCCGAGTTACATGAACCTGAATTAGCATTATAGTCCACTTAAGTTTAACCACACTGTATTAGCATTAATAGCTACGCTTAGCATTTTAATCTCAAACTTTAGATTCTGAACCTAGCCATTTTTTTAGGATTTGTCATATTTTTATTTTACTTTTTGCAGTACTTTGCCGGTACGCGCTTTTACGTAGCCGGTATTAGTTCTGACACCAATTCTCATTATTTCGACTTGAAACTTGTTTTACTAGTCCTACATATTATTCTAGTAATATATACACACTTTTCATAATTTTCCGGGATACTTCATCGGTACGCATTTATACCGTGGAGCAGAACCGGTATTTGCACTTTTCGTCAGAAAAGCGACTTTCAACGTTCTTAATCACTTACAATAATTATTTAAGCCTTATCATAATTATTAGGGTCAATTATAGAATTATCTCATTAATCTCATAATTAATTAATTAAATTCCTTAATTAACGGTGCGGGTTCTTACAACAGTGGTTGTGATGATGGTGGTGGTGGTTGATGGCGGTAATGGTGATGGTGGTGGTGACGGTGATAGTGGTGATGGCAGTTGTGGTAGTTGTGGTGGTGGTGACAGTGACATGGTGGTAGTGATGGGTGGAGGTGGTGGTAATGGTGGCAGTGGCATCATGGTGGTGACGACAACAATAGTGGTACGATGACGGCGGCGACGTTGGTGGCGGCAGTTGTGTCGGAATGATGGTGGTGGTGGTGATGATGGTAGAGGTGGAGTGTGATTGAGAGAGAAAAGTGTTTCTCATTTTGTGCTCAAAAACTAAAAAGCAGAAATTTTTTGATTCTTTTTTCTGTTTCCTGGCACAAAAATTAAATCGGTTCACCTCGGGAACAAAAAAATAAATCGGTTTTACCAAACGAATTTCCTATCCATTTCTGTTCCCGGAAACATAAATTAAAAAAGAATTGATTCCGGGAAGGTTGTCATGCACACCCCTAGTGTCCTAGTAATTCCTCTTGAATTAAGCATTAAGCAAATAAATTAAAAGTCTGCAATCTATGTAAGCCTATGTCTAAGTCATGCACAAATTGTTATTCTACCCTTGTCCAGACTAAAACCCCAATATGTCTATTGTGAGTCCTAAGCCTCAAAGCCTTATAATTAGAGTGGCCAATTCTAATCAGGATATGGAAAAATTAACACAGGTAGAATAAAAAAACTAACTAATTAACTTATAAAAACAGTATAGGAAATATAAAGGATTCACATTGGGTCCATGATCCCAATTACAAAAAGAAATTAGCCAGACATATTCATGTCTGACTGAAACAAATTAAAAGAATAAAAATTGTTCATAAAAGCAATAAAGAAGAAGAAGACGATGAAGGATCAATGTTCTTCAGTCTTCAACTCCGGTGGAATCCTGATCTCCAGCGCGAGTCTTCAAAAATTCTCTCAATTCTCTGATCCTCATAATTCTCTCCAGCCAAAGATATCTGTCTTCTGGGGTCTGAGTATAATAACCCTAATTACACGATTTTTAAATTAGAGGGTTATGATGAGGACCTTATGGTCATAAATAGAATGAGAATGAAATTCTAAGAATTTGGATACCCATATTGAGGGTATTCCAGTCAGTTGAATTTTCATCTGTTGTTTTTGACTGCTGACGCAGTAATAGACTGTAGAATAGCTCCAGTACAGTGAATTTAATTTAGAGAGATATCCTAATGATATGAATATCATAAATGATGTAAGCATAAGATTTTATGAAGTTTGATACCCATATTGGGGGTATTCTGAACAGTTGAGTTTTCAGCTGTTGTTTTTGACTGCTAACGCAGTAACAATCTTTAGAATAGCTCCAATCTAGCAAATCTGAGTTAGAGAGCTAATCTAATGATATAAACATCATGAATGAGGTTTGTATATGATTTGATGAAGTTTGATACCCATATTGAGGTATTTTAGAAAAGTCACTTCTGCCGGTATTTTGTACTGTTGTAGAAGCAGCCGGTAGAATCCCGGAATGGGAAAAAGATGAGAAAATGGAAATAAAGACTAATATATGCCTAACAAGTTATAATTAGACCAATAATGTTAAAGTTAAGAAGATTATGAAATTCGGGTACAATTAAGAACACTAGTAAAGACTACAGTGCAATTAAACAACTGTTAGTGGATTTGTGATCGACTAATCAAATTCTTAAGTTATGAACATGATAATTAGACAAAATTAATGTTAAGTGCTTAAAGTTAGAGTCTTGGGGGTTTCCGGGAAAAAATTTGACGACGGTTCAAATAAAAATTACACCGGGTCTCAGTAAAGGACAAAGTGCTACTAAAGTGACATGGCACCCCTAATTAGGGCATCATCCCTTCCTTCTCCCTTTATATTTCTGAGCCTCCAACCGCTCTCTCTCTCTAAAATTCAAACTTCAAACTTTGCTCTCACTTCTCTCTAAGATTTCATCTCCAAAACCTCACCAAATCACCAAAGTTGTTCCTCTCACTCTCCTCTTCACAACCATACCATTTGTAAAGTAATGGTTTGATGAAGATCTTTAAGGGTGTGTATGTTTTGAACCATGGAATCATGGATTTGATGAGTAAAGGTGCCACCTTTGGACCTTTGTGTGTTGTTCATGTGAAAAGATGAACATGAACCCTATATGGACCCTTGATGATTTCAGCCATGTCATGTAATAATAAGGTTTGATGATAAAAAATGTGATTAAGTTGTTAAGTGTGGAAAAATGATTAGAAAGATTAACTAGGTCGGTTAACTCTAAGTAAAACTCACTAATCATGATTAATAATGGCTAAAAACCCTAATTAAAATAGCTTATCAAATCTGTCCCATAAAGAATATAAGGGTTTAGTTGTGTTAAAATTAAGGAGATGATGAATTAGGGGATTAATTAAGGGTAGGGATTAATTAACAAAAGTAATTAAGGATTTAACTCTAAAATTGGACTAAAGTAGAGTTTAGGTACACTAATTAAGTAATTAGTAAAATTTAAGTATCATGACATAATGGGACTAAGGATATTCATAATGTGACTTAATAATAGAAAAATCCAAGAATTAATGTGAATTAGGATTTATAATCAAAAGTAATTAAGGTTTGTTAAGTAAACACATTTACGGCTAAGTAACCAGTTTTTAGGCGAAATTGGGGAGAGCATATCTCCCTCCACAAAGGTCATATAGGGCTGTGCCTTATATCAAATTGAAGATTGAGAAGTTATCTATGTGGTGTCAAAATTTGGTATCAATCGAAGATGTATTCCATTCTATATGTTTGTTTGAGTGAGGACTGCACAGGGAGGCCATGTTCAGGGGCTGTACATGGCTGCAACTTACACGAATTATTTCTCCCTCTGTGATTACTAAAATTAGGCTCATAATATTTTTAATTAAATATAACGATGTCTAGTTCTCTACATAAAAATTTGAGAGCAATTGGTTTAGTAGATTTTCCAGAATCTCAGAAATGGTAAAGGATGTTTAGGGCCCTGTTCGGAGTTGGCAAACAGCTTTGCTTGTTCAACTTCAAATGGTGATAGCCGGAGCTAGGAAACTCCAAATGAGGCATGTGATACCTTGTTGGAAATCTAATTGAGTCTAGATTAACATACTAAAAGATGAGAATTTTATATCAAGTTAGTTTCGCTCAGTGACTGAAAAACAGAGGCATGTAAAGTTATGGAAAAACCATAAAATACTAAGTCAACGTAAATGGTGAAGTGTGTGACCCTAGTGCTGATAGCGTGGATTTCGAGCTGTTAGCACGGAGCTAATGTAAGATTTTGACCCTCTGGCGCTGATCTTGCGCTGTAAGCGCGAATATTTCGAGGGATTCTGGCACTGTCAGTGCGGACTTACTGTCTCTTTTCAGTCTTGTGGCGCTGATAGTGCTAATTCCCAGATTTAAAACTTTTCCATATAGTCACTAATTCACCAATTACTTGACTTGTTAAAATTAAAACTACCTAGTAAAGATAAAATGAATAAAACAGAAAATAGACTATTGGGTTTCCTCCCAACTAGCGCTTGTTTAACGTCACAAGCCTGACGTACCCCTTATGATTATGGTGGTTGGAAGCATGTTACCATTGATGATCCAGTTTTTCTGGTCCAGTATTGTGTCCTTCCATGATCATATGCAAGTGGCTGAGGAGGAGGGTTCTCAAGAACTTTAAACTTAGTTTTCACATGTTTTTCCTTACTCTTGAGCTTTTCCATCTTCACCTTTGGCTTGCTTTCTACATGCTGCTGATGGACTTCCTTCTTGTTCCTTTCCTCAACCTTTTTCTCCGCAATATAGTTAACTTGATCTTTAGGTTGAGGACAAGTAATGGAGCTTCACTTGTAAGTACCTTGAATGTTGCTTGCTCTCCATCCACGCGCATTATTAACTCACCCTTAGGTACATCGATTAGCGCTCCTGAGGTTGCTAGGAATGGCCTCCCAAAGATCAGAGGCACACTGGCATCTTCATCAATGTCAAGAATAACAAAATCAACAGGAATTAGAAATTTGTTTACCTTGACGAGCACATCCTCCATAATAACATGTGCTTGCTTGGTTGAGCGGTCGGCCAGCTGAACATTCATCCTCGTTGACTTTATTTCATCAATTCCCAGCTTCTTCATCAGGGTGAGGGGCATCACATTTATGCTGGCACCAAGATCGCATAAGACTTTCTCTATAGTCGTCTTGCCGATGGTACATGGAATACTGAAGCTCCCTGGACCCTTCAACTTTGGAGGCAAGTTTTTCTGTATGATTGCACTGCACTCCGCTGTTAGTGTAACAGGTTCATCCTCTGTGAGCTTCCGCTTCTTAGATAATGTCTCCTTCAGAAACTTGGCATACAAAGGCATTTTCTCCAGAGCTTCTGCAAAAGGAATGTTAATTTGCAATTTCTTAAAAATATCTAAAAATTTAGACAATTGATTCCTTTGCTCAAGTTGTTTGCTCATCATGGGATATTGAGGTTTCTCAAAACGTGAGAAATCCCATTGCTTCTTCTGAACTACAGTGGGTTGCTCTTTTGCTTTTTCCTTGCCTTCTTGAGTGTGTCCATTCTTGCTTGTAGGAGCTTCCACTTTTTCTAGATCCTCTCTTGTAGTAGTGATGACATTGCATTGCTCCCTTGGGTTGATTATGGTGCCACTGGGGAATGTTCCTGGATTTCTCTTAGCTAATTGTCTTGACAACTGCCCAATTTGAGTTTCCAGATTCCTTATAGATGCTTCGTGATTCTTGAAAGAAGATATGGTTTCTTGCATGAATTCATTGGTGGTCTTTTTCAACTGTAGTAAAGCTCTTTCTAATTCAGATGGTTGAGTCTGTGGAATTGGAAGAGGTTGTAAATATTGGTTGGATTTGTAATCCAAACCTGTCCCTTGAACTCTCCTTTGGAAGTTGTTCCCTGGAGCATTGTTCTGGTTTCTCTGGAAGTTCTGTAGTGGTTTTGGTTCATACCAGACTCCGTTAACTTGTAATGCATCTGATCCTACCAAGGTTGGACACTTGTTGGTCTCATGCTCTCCTTTGTAATACTCACAGTTAACCGAGTTAACTTGAGCTGTAGAAAGTTGCATCTGGTCTAACTTAGCATTCAAACTGGAGATCTGTTGAGATAGGATCTTTTGTTCAGCTAACGATGCATCACTGTTTCCCAATTGCAGAAGTCCCCTCTTTGGTTGAACTGGTTGAACCGCCATTGATGCGTTCTCGTTCCTTTCCATGAAGTCAATCAGCCCTAAGGTTTGAGCTGCTATTTTCTTCCCTATGGTTCCACCGGCTGCACCATTGACCACCATTCTGGAGTCTGGTGTCATTCTATTGTAGAAGACTCTGACCTTCTTTCGTCTGGAAAATCGTACTGGGGGCACTTTCTGATCAGTTCTTGGAATCTGGGCCAAGCTGCGCACATCGTTTCTCCTTGCTGTTGAGTGAAGTTGGTGATTTCATTCACCAACTTGTTGTATTTCTCCCTGGAGAAGTGCTCTGCGAAGAATTTGGCTGCCAGATCATCCCACGTTCTGATGTTGTTGGGAACTTGTCTATCCAACCATATGAGATTTTTCCCTGTTACAGCAAAAGGAAACAGCCGGAGTCTAATTGTATCATCTGACACCCCGTGATGCTTGGTTGTGTCACAGATTCTTATAAATCTATCAATGAAATCATGGGGGTCTTCATAATCTTCCCCACCAAATGGATTTTTCTCCACCAAGGATATCAGTGTTGGCTGGATATCAAAATTGTTAGCGTTGATTGGTGGTCTGACGATGCTAGAATTTGGCCTAGTGAAAAGAGGAGCTAGGATTGACTCCATCAATTCTTCCTCCGGTGGTGGATTAGGTGCTGCCATATCGGGTTCTGCTTTTGGCTCTGAACTCGAGGATTCCTCTTGCTTCCTTAGATTAGTTAATTTTTTATTCTTCTTTGCAGTCTTCTCGATTTCTGGATCAAACTGTAAAGTGTCTCGGTCAACTTTACCTCGCATAAAAGAGAGAAATCAATTAGTAACAAAATAAAATTAAAAATTCCAATCTCAAAGATCGAAAGTTAAAACTAGTATTGGCGTAATTAATCCCCGACAACGGCGCCAAAAACGTGCTGCGAAATCGGCAAGTATACCGTTCGTTTAAAGTAATAAAAGTGATAAGTAAAGATCGTTCCCTCGAGGATTAATGCACCAAGTATTAATTTAACTATTCCCCTTAAGTTGGAAAAGAAAATTGGTTTGCTTGTGAAAGTGATTGATTGTTATAATTTCAAAAACAGAATTTTAAAAGCAATAATATTAAAACACTTGCAAGAAAAGATCAAGAACGTCACGAAAAATATGAGTTATGAAGAATTGTAAAAAGACTGTAGCCAGGATGCACTTCACCTCCGACCCTCCCTTATATTCCTATATTGTATTTTATAATTAACTAATTTGTTTGCTCAAACAATTCATTATTTCTCTATAAATTAGTTGAACCCTAATGTCTTAGTGATTTCAACCCTTTAACCCAATTAGAATCCTAATGTCCTAGTCATTCCTCTTAAATTAAGCATTAAGCAAATGAATTAAATGTCTGCAATCTATGTAAGCCTATATCTAGGTCATACACAAATTGTTATTCTACCCTTGTCCAGACTAAAACCCCAATATGTCTATTGTGAGTCCTAAACCTCAAAGCCCTATAATTAGAGTGGCCAATTCTAATCAGGATATAGAAAAATTAACACAGGCAGAATAAAACAAACTAACTAATTAACTTATAAAAATAGTATAGGAAATATAAAAGATTCACATTGGATCCATGATCCCAATTACAAAAAGAAATTATCCAGACATATTCATGTCTGACTGAAACAAATTAAAAGGATAAAAATTGTTCATAAAAGCAATAAAGTAGAAGATGAAGGATCAATGTTCTTCAGTCTTCAACTCCGATGGAATCCTGATCTCCAGCGTGAGTCTCTAAGAATTCTCTCAATTCTCTAATCCTCACAATTCTCTCCAGCCAAATATATCTGTCTTCTGGGGTCTGAGTCTCTATTTATAGACTTTGTGCCCTTGCTTAGAAATCTTGATTGAATCTTCATCGTATATCTTGGATCCAATCTCTTCTGATATAGCCTGAGATATGTTTAAAATTTCTCACGTACCTCCTGCGCTACTAGCACCAGTTTCGCGCTAATAGCGTGGGAGTATTGTTCTTGATAAAGTAGGCTCGCGCTACTAGCGTGGTTGGCAAGATTGGTTGGCGCTACTAGCTCCTGTTCCACGCTAGTAGCGTGGTGGTTATGGATCAAAAAATTCTTCTGGCGCTACTAGCGCCAGTTCGGCGCTAATAGCGCGGGGCTTCAGATTTGTTCTTTCAATTTGGGCTTCTTTTTTTCCTGTTTTCCTACAAAATTATAAGAAAATCAGTGACAAGATATCTGATTGAGATTTATCAATTCAATAACAATTCTAGCTCTTTTTCTCCAAGATTGATCAAGATTCTTTCTCTTTTTTGCTTAAAATCATAAATATGCTGGAGGCATATCACCCGTGTGTGCTCCACCATGCCCATTGGGGTAGTGGTTGGAGGTTGTATGTCAATGATGTGGTCATAAGAAGCTCATGCATATGTATATATATTGGGTACCTAGTGTGTACCGTATCTCGGGCCAGTAGATAGTTTTCCTTATGGTGTTACAGACTTCCACTGGATAGATCTCTGTGAGGGAGTTCCAGTTGGCCTGGGGCCATAGAGCTGTTATCCGTTGAGGAGCACTCTTGGAATATCTCGGTGTATTGGATGGAGGGTGCCTTAGATGATGTTCTAGGAACATATTCTTGGATGAGAGCCCGTAGGCTATATACCGAGGCCAATAGGTCGAATGTTGCGTGGTTTTGGCTATCACCATTCTAGCTTCATCGTATGTTTTATCCCTATGCATCCCTACTTCGCTAAATCCCTTGCTATATCCTGTTTGGGTGGTTATGATTCATTATGGAACATTTACATCTAAGTGAGCCATTGGGTGGAGTGATCTTCAAAATCTCTGGGTTACTGAGATATATTCGTATATCTTACCCCGCGTTTGGGGCATTATTTCAGGTGGATGTAGCGGGACCGGAGCTGTGGGCAAGAGGCCCATAGGATGAGCACATGGAGTTAGAGAGCATTTTGCATTTTGAGGCCACGCTTGGCATAGGCTAAACTTAGAGCATGAACATTGTATAGTGCATTATGGTTATGTATCATATCATCTTTGTTCATGTTTCATTTTGGCTAAGTTTAGTTGATTACATGTCTTGTTGTATTTTGAGGATTTCTTTGTATTTATATTTACCATTGGAGAATTGTAATTTGATAATTATGGACCTTGTGTAATATTTGAAGGCATGTATATGATGAAAAGGCAATATGCCTATTTTAGATAATGATTTATATGCAAATTGTTAAGAATGCATGCAATTGGATAATGTGATTGTAATGAGTTAAAGTTTTGATAAAGTTAAGTATTGAATGGTAAATCGAGGAAAATGATATAAATTGTTGTGGGTTGTAAGAGCGCCAAGGCATTGCTGGTCCTTGAGTGTTACCCTTGTTTATTAGGTACCCTTGAGGCATAAAAACACACTTTTGATAAAGTGGGATATGTTGAATAAACAAAGGAGGTGCCGCCAAAATTTATACTAAAATGGCAGAATTTAGACAAAATTTGGGAGAGCATATCTCCCTCCACAGAGGACCAACAGGGACGTGGAATACATCATTTTGAAGCTTGAGATGTCAACTATGTTGTATCAAAATTTGGTTTCATTTGAAGCTGTGTAGCGACCTGTAGACGCGTTTGAGTGGAGACTGCCCAAACGATCCTGCACATGGAGGCTATCGAGTCACTATCTTGCAAAAAATTATTTTTCCCTCAATTCTTACTCAAATTAAGCTCATGATATGTCAAATTAAAGCTTGAGGTGTCTAGTTTACTGTATAAAAATTTGAGAGAAATTGGTTGAGTGGCTTGTCCAGAATCGTAGAAATGATAAGGTATGTTTGGTGCCCTATTTTGGGTAAGCTAGCAGTTTTTCTTGTCTAGCTTCAAACGGTGATAACCGAAGCAAATTAGAACTTTATGGGGCCTTGTTGGAAAAGTAATTGAGTCTAGAATAACATATTAAAATATAAGAAGCTTGTAACCACTATATTTCGCACAGTGTCCAAAAGACTGAACCATGTTCAGTTATGTAAAAATCGTAAAAGTGAGAGTTATGCTGAGTGGGTTTATGGGAACCCCTTAGTGACTTTAAATAAGTAATGTATGATAGTTAGGCTTTTATTTTATTTATTCTGCGTTTAGATTTCAGTTATGATCACAACTTTTATCATTACGTTTTATTATTGTTTTTAAAACGTTTATGTAATGAAAAAGAAAAAATTTACTCGCATTTTTAAATGGACTGCTGTGATTGTAACTGCACTTAATATCATAATCAATGTTAATAATACCGGTACGCAACGGGCTGTTACACGGAGTATGTTTAAAAAATAAGTCTTAACTTAAATCTGGTAACCTGTTTAAACCTATTAAATATTCAATAATTAAAAAATATTACTTTATTATTTAAAATTATAAAATAATAATTTTATATATTTTATTTAAAATAATATAATATATGCCTACATGTAAACTTATGGGTCCCACATAAAATAAAACCTATAGCCTAATTTCTAAATATGTTTTTTAAAAATTTGAACATGTTTTATTTAACTAAATATGATAGGCCGAATATGGCTTGATATAAACTGAGCTATAGGCTTATGGCCCTATTAGACCAACTCATTTACATGCCAGGGAATATATGGTCAAACATCAACTATACTATCAGTTGCCAACTGCTATAGCACATAAATATACAGGGAAATACGTACAGCATCAATGATCGTGGTTTAATGCACAAACTTATGATAGATAAATCAGGATTTAGCTATTAACTATTCACTTTTAAGGAAAATCTGCGGTTGATATTATTGAAAAATACATGATCTATGCACAGCAAAAATATAAATTTGTTAAAATTTATATCTTCAAAATTTTTTTTATCAATAATTAAGATCCTCCACCTAATTTATAAAGTGAATGAGATTCACTTTAAAGGAGCCAAATCGGTTAAATCACATTGGTTCAGTTGCAAAAATCAACTGCTCTTCTTAATTTCATCTAAATATCCTTCAGTGAGTAACCGCTTCTCTTCCTCCTCCAACCTTGCTAGCCATTTGAATCCAAGATCACATCCTGCTTTTGCCGCTATCTGAAATTTTTCTCTTGCCATCCCTACTGGATCAATTGCAAGACTTTCCTTATTCTTACCTCGTTTATGAGCAGCGGAACCTCTCTTCAAACTGAATTTTGTTAATGATTCTGGAATCTTAACACCTGAGGCACAATATTTTCTTCTTATTAGTATCAGACTCTAAGCATGATGATGAAAAGTTGTATGCAAGCCAACAGATCCAACCAGAAGACATACAAGTAAAGTGAAGCAAGCTGTCTAAAACCAACTTACAGCTTGTTTATTTTAAGGTCTATTTGTATTAGATTTTTTGCCACTGTATTTAGTTGTTCTAGACATCGTTTAACAAAAGGAAATATTACGGTACTTCATTTCAAGGTTCAGCAGCATTGATTTAAAATGCAAACAATCCATTTAAATATATCAATAGTTTTAGATTAGAAATTTTGTTTAATTTTATCTTCCACACTTCTTAATATCAATTATTCTTTTCCAACTTGATCGTTATCTCTTAGTATCATAACTAGGTTGAATGAGTAAACACTAACGGAGTAATAGGATAATTTAGTCAAATGTAATTGCGGTAATATCGGTTTTAGCTGCTGGACTGCTTGACTTAGAGCTTGATGTGGAAGGAGGTCAGTGCTGCTTTTCCTGCTGCAGATGCTAGTTTTTTTGTTGATGCAGTAGGAATTGTCTAATCAAAAGGATAGAAGTTCATTCCTTTCGCCTAAGTCTCACCCTTTTCAACCATCAAAAAAGAACAGTACCAACACATACTATACTTGCTCTATTAACTAAATATAGCTCTTCTTCAATGGCTCACTTCGCAGGTAAAATTCTCTCATATTTTCTTAAAATTAAAAGTATTTTATTTTTATGACTCTTATATTTGTGCAAAACCTTAAACGAATGCTTCTTTGAAGCAGAGGTAGTATTTCTAGTTTCTAAGGTCAATAGGTGTTTGCATGAATAACAATGTTTGCTAAATCCTCTAAATGCATGTTTGTGTAAGGGAGAATGTGAAATAAACAAGCAACTAACCAATATGTTAGAACATTTGTTTATCAAGAAAATAGTTACAGTAATCTAGATTCATAGAGCTATGCTATTATGTGCCTCTGTAACAGTAATCTGATACTGGAATTGTTCAAACCTTACCACTTCTCCAACCTATTTTGTTGAACTATAGGTCAAGAAGACTATGTTTATGAAGTTTTGATGATAATAAAGCACCAACAAGTACCAACATAGCTCAACATGAAAGCTCTCAATGAAAGGCATTGCAACAAGTTCTAAGAGGCACAAAAAGCTTATAACATAGTGCAAAGTTCAAGAGAAGACTCAAATTGGCAAAGTCAAAGCTCAAGTCAAATTTTACAAGCTAAAGGGAGTACAAGAAGACTCTACATGACTCTAAATAGACAAAGACTTGAAAACCAATGAAGACATAGCTCTACACTGTTTATATAGTTCTCACCTAAGTCATAGAACTTATAGGATTGAGTTTATTGAGTTTTATCTTGGGAAGTGCAAAACTAAACCATAAACTCATATAGGTGACACATATTCACTTTGATCATGCAAACAATGTTCACACACATCAAGAGTTGTTATGCAAGTGGGAAACATGATCATACATATTTTAGAAGTCAGTTAGAATCATTTAGAAGTCACTGGAAATCATTAGGATGCATTAAAATTCAAAAATCAGCATGAAAACTGATTTCTGCATAAAAGTAATCGAACACTTTTTGCAAAGTAATCGAATACTTTTCTAGGTAGAAAAGTAATAGAATACTTGATGAACAGTAATCAAATACTATCTGGGTTTAAAGAAGTATTCGAATACTCCACGAAAAGTAATCGAATACTTTCTGTTATGAGTGACTTAAACTCGAAGAAATTCAAATTTTTTTATGCTTAACGGCTATAAACGACTAATAACTCATTGGGCACCTATAAATACATATGATTAGGGTTCCAAACACAAGAATTAACACTGAAAAACTCAGAATCAAAGAAATTTAAGAATTGCACCCATATTAGCTTGCTTTTGCACATTCTTGAGAAAAATCTCAATCACTCTCTTGTTTCTCAATCTTTTTTGTTCTTTCTTTTTTGTGTTTAGCAAGAGTGAGTTGTTGTAATTGCTGGAGAGACAATTGGAGTGACCCTAAAGGCTTAGGTTAAGTGTGATCAAGGTGTGATCATAGACTTGTAAAATTCCAGTTGTAAAAAGGTTTCTTCAAGCACCTGTTGGAAGCTGGATGATAGTGAAAAAGATCGACCTCAGTCTGGACGTAGCTCTCAAGTGGTTTAGAAAGTGAACCAGGATAAACCCTGGTGTAATTCTTCCTTACCCTATCTTTTTTGATTTCTATCAATTGAATTTCGTTTTGATTCTTAATATGTTATATTGAATCTGTATAAGGATTCATGATCATTACTTTTATGTTTTAATTCGTTCTTGCATGATTTCTTGAAAAGGGTAGGCATAAACATTAAAATTCTTCTATTTTCCCTTTCAAATTTGATCCGCTGCATATTGCCTTTGAATTGATGTTATAAGAATTGTTTTAATTCTGTTTTGTGTTGGAAAATAAGTTTACATTCTGTATGAATTGATTTTGGTTGACATACTTGTTAAAAAGTTGATTTTTGAATTGTTTCTTGAATTAGAAGTAACACACTTGTGTGATTGTTTAGCCATCTTTTCTCTTCACATTTGGCATCACTTTCCTCTATACCAGGAACCCAAGTTATATACAAGTATTACATTTTTTTTTTGTGCTTCATAATAGTTAACTTATGGGACATGCATCTTTCTGATTCATCATCATGACTAGTCACTGCAGATAAATTTGGCTAATCATCTCTTACATGAGTAGGAAGATCAATTGTAAAGGGTAATTCTTGTTCTCTGCACATGCACCCAACCCATCCACATACCAATAGCATCCACTGTACTAAAAATGTTTTAGCATCTAATTTATCTTTAACAGTTTTACTTCCTTTCTTTCAGCAATCACAAATGATAAAAGAAATCTATTGTACAGCTGTTTGATTTCAACCACCTTTTCCATGGTAGACATTACAAATAAAGGGCAAAAAGTGCCTATCGTTGCCAAACATGTACTTATTATGAGCATCAGGTCCTCAATAACAATGATATACCCCATAAACTGGTGAAAGGAAGTGAAGATGGGATGATACACCCAATATAATATAAATAAAATGGAGAACATAGGAAGTCAAGCTGACCTTTAAGAAGAAGAGATCCATATGCTATAGCTGCCCCAGCATGGCCCTAAATATATATGAAGAGTGAAATTACAAAAACCAAGGAAAAATCTTCAAATAACTTTAATATCAGGTTTATTCCAAACTAGTTTGGGTCAACCCAAAATCGTTAAACAAGCAACTGAAAATTTAGCTTGTTTACAATGTGTGAATGAGATTATGAAAGCAATAAATATATTAGATTAAACACTTGTACATTAAGAGGGACAAAAACTTTCGAGGACCATTATTTAGGTGTATGTTTATTTATATTAATTAAATTCTTTTCAAGTTAAGAATTTAAAGTATTAAAATTGGCTAAACTGATGTTAGATTATTTGCAAATCATCGGAAGTAACTAAATACATTGTCTTTAGCTAGGTAAGACCTAATCATGAGAAATATATACAGATACGTCTACTGAACCATCGCAGGAATTTTCAAGCTAGGGCTATTGCCGATTAGGTCCATCATTTTAGAAGAGAAGTATCAACAAGTATCTAACGTAATCCATTAAACAACATCACACTTGAGTTAAATATCTCATTAGCTTCTAGTAAACCAGTATTAGTTCTAGAGGCAAAATATAAACAAAAATGCAACTTCAACAAAATTTTAACTGCTCAAAACAAGACACGAGTAATCAATGAAACTCTTGCAGTTCGTGGCTCATTAAACATATTTTTTTTACTACTTTCCCTTATGATATAAATACTTCAGCCCATGCCAAAATCTTAGTGAGGTGAGGTAAGGTATGCACCGTTAAAGCAAGTGCAAACTAGATAAATCATAACAGAATAATCAAATGGTACTCAAAGTCTAACTGGCCAGACATGAGAAAAAGAATATAAGGACAATTGTCCATCAACATTAAGAAAACAATCTGGAAAATGCACAACTATGTGTGAGCTTTTAACGAAATTAGTGGCTTAAATTTGATTCATTGATGTGTTTTATCTACTATTACCTTCTCTGATGCCCTATGGAAACACCACAATGCTGAAGCCATATCTTTCTTGACACAGTCGCCTGTCAAATATACAGCACCCAAAAGGTAAAGAGCACCTGGATGCAACTAGAACATAAAATACTCAAGTAAGGTTTCATCTGACATTCTGAAATCATGACAACTAGAACCTTCCATAGTGTAACATACCTGGTCCACAGCTTTCTCCAAATAATAAAAAGCTTGTTGATCTGATTGGACATAGTCATTCTGTTTCAAAAAATATTTTTTTCCAAAAAATCATTCATTATAAAAAATAAAAATAATAAAAATAAAATAAAATAAAAGAAAACTCATGATCATGATATTCCCCAATGTAACCAACCAATAATGTAGCATGGAGAAAACTTATAAAAGAGTGAAGAAGACTACATGACAGAAATTTCCTACTCAATTACATCATAGAAGTCTAATAAAATTGTACAAATTCAATCAGGCAAGGGGAAAAAAAAAAGGAACTACTAGTTATTCACCATTAAGAATATATAATATCCCAGCCAGACAATTTTATCTGCACTCTAGCCTAGCATTGCCCTCCCCAAGGTCATAGACCTCATTTGTTAACCACAAAAAAATAATAATAACAATAATAAATAGAGGAATAAATAAATCCAAAACTTAAATCAGCAAATAGTAATGGAGAGTCATTACGCAATTCGCGGATGAATTGAAGAATGATTGCAGTCATCGACTCAAAGTGTGCAAATTTGGCTACAACATACTTAAATTATGTCATCACAACATAAAGTGTAGACCCTCACCTCAACTCTTAAATGACAACCCAATGCATACTGTGCATCAGGATCACCCATTTCTGCTGCTTCTACCAATAATGCCGCCCCTCTGTTTCAATGGGAGAAAGGAAAATATGGTCATGCATCAGCAGTAGATAGGTTTAAAAGTATATGTGACTTGAAAAAACAAGGAAGATCCAAAAAACTCAAAATTGCGCCACAAGACAGCTACACAGTCAACTGTTAAAAAAAAGGACATGAGACGAACAGTAAACAATAAAACCACAAAAGTACAAAACTGACATGAATGTCATTGATGACAAAAGGAAAAACCAAAAGAGAATGTGTTAAAAGGCTACTTCATCATGGTAGAAATCAGAGATTAGAAGAAAATGATAGACAACCTAAGAAATGGAAAGAAAAGAAGAACGAGACAAAAAAAAAAAGCTTCTCTGAGAAGAAAATATCAGAAAACTGAAACTTTAGGGAATCTGATACAATACATAGATCATAGATGATTAAGTGTATATATATATATATATATATATATATAAAAGCCTAATCACTAACTGAACAGTATCTGACCAACTGACTGGCTAACTAAACTAACTGTACAGTAACAGAACCTAACAGACTAGACTGTTCTAAAGCATCATACTTCACAAAATGAGATTTAGAATGTATAGAAAGCATTCCATTACATGTAAAGTCAAATGTTTACTTGGCCCTTCATTGTGGTGAACAGCTGAGTCATATTGGAAAGTAGCTCAAGAACAATTTTGTAGGGAACCAGAGATTCCATGTAGTAATTTTTATAAAATAATAATAACGATAATAAGGAATAATAGAATTAGATGTATGGACATAGTATATCTGCATTTCTTTGATGGAGAATAGGTAGAGCAGGAAGAAACAAGAAATGGTGGAGGAGAAAAAGTTCACTTACACAGCTTTATTTGCTCCGGGGACATGGTATTTCATATGCAATCTTGACAACCAATACCTAGCATGTGTATTGGTGTTGTCGGCCTCCAAAGCGAGCTCAAAATTCTCCTTTGCTGTCTAATATTGAGGGTGAAATAAGCAAAGGACTCTGTTTCTGATATCAAATCTCAAATAAAGAAGTAAATAGCAATAGGTTGAGAAATCTATCATTACCCTAAGAAGAGGTATGAGACGCTTATCATTGAGCTCGCAGTAATCGATAACTCTATCAACCTCCTTCAAAGCATTCCAGCCTTTTGCAATGAACTCCAAAGCTTTCTTGTTCCTGCTATGTAATTCTCTCTGCAAATTTTCAGGACTCTTAGAGATAAGCAAATATGTTGAAACACAACAAGAGTAGTGTAGTACAAGCATAATAACATGCCTGTTGATTGAATTGGAAAAGAGAAACGGTGGAAGGTTTTTGAATGAACTTGGCCAACAACGCCCTTGACAGCATCTTCTCAGAAACAGTACGGCCAACTGAGCCGGTCGCCCCTTTCCTATAATTCACAACTACAAAGAAATATGGACCAACTCATCACACTCTGTACTAGCCCACGTGAGCCATGGCCGAAAAGCTAACAGCCTATTGGGCCAAAAGAATATTAAAGACTATATATAAGGTCATGTGGGTTCGGCCAGCCCACTAAATTTTAAAAAGAATATTGCCCATCTTTTGAATAGAGATATTTCAAAAACAAGGAATTTTTTGTTTTTTGAAGTTCCTTCCTAAACACTATAAAGTGCATACTAAAATATCTCAGGAAGATCCAAGGAATTTCAAGAAACCATATTAAAAATCAGGTATATGCAGCTTCCGTCAGTGTAGTTAAAACCTCTAGTAACATCATAGGATCGTAGATTTTCTCCACCTTTGCCGATTCAAAACGCAAGCAAGATCCAACATCAGCAAAATCGTATGGGATCGTCGAGTAAAAACTTAAATATGATTGGATCGTATGATTCCATCGTTTCAAACGATCTGAAAAAAATTTCAATGCTTTTATCTTTTGACCTAAAAACGCGGAAAACTTTTATTATTCTATCAAAGACATGAACAGAACCCTATCCTGGTGCGAAATCAGAACCCTATTCACTTGTCTGTGACTGCTTTTCTTCCTTCAATGACTGCGAGTCTATCTCTGGAACAAAATCTACACTGGTTGAAGCTTCTCCGGTGCAAAATAGTCTCTAGTTCTAGTGCAAGATTCTCTATCGCAACCCTTGGAGCAAAACTCATTCATGATGTGAAACCCATTTCAGCAATTTGTTAATTTGTGCCCGAAGAGGTAACCCTTATAAATAAGAGGTTAAAGACTCCAGGTATACACTTTTAACTTATTTACTATTACTGCCAACATTGTGCACACATCCACGTCTTGGCTATAAGCCTATTGCTTATGCGCAGTGATTGGGACATCGGCTATAAGCCTAGTATACATCTGATTATACAGTATCTCTGAGCGCATATCATACGGTATAGCAATACGGTTTTTCCAGTACCGAACATTGGTCGTCTGTGGGAAACGGCAAATTTCGACTCCCAACCATTGTGAACACGCACGGCATAACACGAAGCCACAGATTACAGGCGACCTCGTGCGCCCTGAAATTGCTGAAACCACATACATATGAGGAGACAAATCCTACCGCAAAAAAGGCTATTGATCCTCAGAGAGACTCTAGAATGGAGCTTTAGATCCAAGCAGATGACAATTTGACAAAGATTTTGGTCGTCGCAATTCTTGATGGAGCAAGTGAAGACCTGGAGGTCATTAAATCATAAGGAAAAAGCTCCAATTCAGCCCAATGAAGGGCTACAAATTTACTAGCTCGGCCTCGGCCTTGAGCTTTGCCCAATAAAGGCTTCAAGTTTAAAAGCTCGGCATCAGCCTCGAGCTCAGCCCAGTGAACGGCTTCAACTTTAATAGCTCGGGCTCGGCCTTGAGCTCCAACTCAGCCCAATGAAGGGCTTTAAATTTACTAGCTCGGCATCGGCCTTGAGCTCAGCCCAACAAAGGGCTTCAATTTTAAAAGCTCGGCATCAGCCTCGAGCTCAGCCCAGTGAAGGGCTTCAAGTTTAATAGCTCGGCCTCGGCCTTGAGCTCCAACTTAGCCCAGTGAAGGGCTTCAAATTTATTAGCTCGGCCTCGGCCTTGAGCTCAGCCCAACGAAGGGCTTAGAGTTTCAGAGCTCGGCCTCGGCCTTGAGCTCCAACTCAGCCCAATGAAGGGCTTCAAATTTACTAACTCGGCCTCGGCCTTCTTGAGCTCCAACTTAGATCAATGAAGGGTTTCAAATTTATTAGCTCGGTCTCGGCCTGGAGCTCAACCCAACAAAGGGCTTCAAGTTTAAAAGCTCAGCATCAGCCTCGAGCTCAACCGAGTTAAGGGCTTCAAGTTTAATAGCTCAGCCTCGGCCTTGAGCTCCAACTCGGCCCAGTGAAGGGCTTCAACTTTATTAGCTCGGCCTCGCCCTTGAGCTCAGCCCAACGAAGGGCTTAGATTTTAAGAGCTCGGCCATGAGCTCCAACTCAGCCCAACGAAGGGCTTCAAATTTACTAGCTCGGCCTCGGCCTTGAGCTCAGCCCGACAAAGGGCTTCAAGTTTAAAAGCTCGGCATCAGCCTCGAGCTCAGCCCAGTGAAGGGCTTCGACTTTAATAGCTCGGCCTCGGCCTTGAGCTCCAACTCAGCCCAATGAAGGTCTTCAAGTTTAATAGCTCAGCCTCGGCCTTGAGCTCCAACTCATTTCAATGAAGGGCTTCAAATTTATTAGCTCGGTCTCGGCCTGGAGCTCAGCCCAACAAAGGGCTTCAAGTTTAAAAGCTCGGCATCAGCCTCGAGCTCAGCCTAGTGAAGGGCTTCGACTTTAATAGCTCGGCCTCGGCCTTGAGTTCCAACTCAGCCCAATGAAGAGCTTCAGGTCTAATAGCTCGGCCTCGGCCTTGAGTTCCAACTCAGCTAAATAAAGGGATTCAAATTTATTAGCTCGGTCTCGGCCTGGAGCTCAGTCCAACCGAAGGCTTCAAATTTAAAAGCTCGGCATCAGCCTCGAGCTCAGCCCAGTTAAGGGCTTCAAGTTTAATAGCTCGGCCTCGGCCTTGAGCTCCAACTCAGTCCAGTGAAGGGCTTCAAATTTAGTAGCTCGGCCTCAGCCTTGAGCTCAGCCCAACGATGGGCTTCAAGTTTAATAGCTCGGCCTCGGCCTTGAGCTCCAACTCAGCTCAACGAAGGGCTTCAAATTTATTAGCTCTGTCTCGGCCTGGAGCTCAGCCCAACAAAGAGCTTCAAGTTTAAAAGCTCGGCATCAGCCCGAGCTCAGCCCAGTGAAGGGCTTCAATTTTAATAGCTCGGCCTCGGTCTTGAGCTCCAACTCAGCCCAGTGAAGGGCTTCAAATTTATTAGCTCGGCCTCGGCCTTGTGCCCACCCAACGAAGGGCTTAGAGTTTAAGAGCTCGGCCTCGACCTTGAGCTCCAACTCAGCCCAATGATGGGCTTCAAATTTACGAGCTCGGCCTCGGCCTTGAGCTCAGCCCAACAAAGGGCTTCAAGTTTAAAAGCTCGGCATCAGCCTCGAGCTCAGCCCAGTGAAGGGCTTTGACTTTAATAGCTCGGCCTCGGCCTTGAGCTCCAACTCTGCCCAACAAAGGGCTTCAATTTTAAAAGCTCGGCATCAGCCTCGAGCTCAGTTCAGTCAATGGCTTCAAGTTTAATAGCTCGACCTCGGCCTTGAGCTCCAACTCAGCCCAGTGAAGGGCTTCAAATTTATTAGTTCGGCCTCGGCCTTGAGCCCAGCCCAACGAAGGTCTTAGAGTTTAAGAGCTCGGCCTCAGCCTTGAGCTCCAACTCAGCCTAATGAAGGGCTTCAAATTTACTAGCTCGGCCTCGGCCTTGAGCTCAGCCCAACCAAGGGCTTCAAGTTTAAAAGCTCGGCATCAGCCTCGAGCTCAGCCCAATGAAGGGCTTCAAGTTTAATAGCTCGAACTCGGCCTTGAGTTCCAACTCAGCCCAATGAAGGGCTTCAAATTTACTAGCTCGGCCTCGGCCGTGAGCTCAGCGTAACAAAGGGCTTAGAGTTTAAAAGCTCGGTATCAGCCTCGAGCTCAGCCCAGTGAAGGGCTTCGACTTTAATAGTTTCGCCTCGGCCTTGAGCTCCAACTCAGCCCAATGAAGGGCTTCAAGTTTAATAGCTCGACCTCGGCCTTGAGCTCCAACTCAGCTCAACGAAGGGCTTCAAATTTATTAGCTCGGTCTCGGCCTGGAGCTCAGCCCAACAAAGGGTTTCAAGTTTAAAAGCTCGGCATCAGCCCCGAGTTCAGCCCAGTTAAGGGCTTTAAGTTTAATAGCTCGGCCTCGGCCTTGAGCTCCAACTCAGCCAAGTGAAGGGCTTCCAATTTATTAGCTCGGCCTCGGCCTTGAGCTCCAACTCAGCCCAAGGAAGGGCTTCAAATTTACTAGCTCGGTCTCGGCCTGGAGCTCAGCCCAACGAAGGGCTTAGAGTTTAAGAGCTCTGCCTAGACCTTGAGCTCCAACTCAGACCAATGAAGGGCTTCAAATTTACTAGCTCGGCCTCGGCCTTGAGCTCAGCCCAACAAAGGACTTCAAGTTTAAAAGCTCGGCATCCGCCTCGAGCTCAGCCCAGCGAAGGGATTCGAATTTAATAGCTCGGCCTCGGCCTTGAGCTCCAACTCAGCCCAATGAAGGGCTTCAAATTTACTAGCTCGGCCTCGGCCTTGAGCTCAGCCCAACAAAGGGCTTCAATTTTAAAAGCTCGGCATAAGCCTCGAGCTCAGCCCAGTGAAGGGCTTCATGTTTAATAGCTCGGCCTTGAGCTCAGCCTAACAAAGGGCTTCAAGTTTAAAAGCTCGGCATCAGCCTCGAGCTTAGCCCAGTGAAGGGTTTCGACTTTAATAGCTCGGCCTCGGCCTTGAGCTCCAACTCAGCCCAATGAAGGGCTTCAGGTTTAATAGCTCGGCCTCGGCCTTGAGCTCCAACTCAGCTCAATGAAGGGCTTCAAATTTATTAGCTCGATCTCGGCCTAGAGCTCAGCCCAACAAAGGGCTTCAAGTTTAAAAGCTCGGCATCAGCCGAGCTCAGCCCAGTGAAGGGCTTCAAGTTTAATAGCTCGACCTCGGCCTTGAGCTCCAACTCAACCCAGTGAAGGGCTTCAAATTTATTAGCTTGGCCTCGGCCTTGAGCTCACCTCAACGATGGGCTTAGAATTTAAGAGCTCGGCATCGGCCTTGAGCTCTAACTCAGCCAAGTGAAGGGCTTCAAATTTACTAGCTCGGCCTCGGCCTTGAGCTCAGCCCAACAAAGGGCTTCAAGTTTAAAAGCTCGGCATCAGCCTCGAGCTCAGCCCAGTGAAGGGTTTCGACTTTAATAGCTCGGCCTCGGCCTTGAGCTCCAACTCAGCCCAATGAAGGGCTTCAAATTTACTAGCTCGGCCTCGAGCTC